AAAAAAAAAAAAAAAAAAAATCTCTCTTTTTTTAATCTCAGGACTCAGGACAAAGTTCGACAAACACAAATAAAAATAAAAATAGAAGACAAGCTCATTTTCTGACTAATCAAAACCGATTTCCCAACCAATTTCTTATGACCAACACATTTTTATTTTATTTTATTGTTTAAAGGTTCCCCCCTCTCCTCCCTGCGTGCAAAGGAAGGGTTTTTGCTATACCAAGAAAGATTAATAAATTAATACAATTATAAATTATAATTCATTTGTGTCAAATGTGGAAGGTAGCGGACAATGATTGCTGCACCAACTCTGCCCTAAGAAGACGGGCAAAAGAAGTCAGAGAGTTTGTGCAGCAATCATTGTCCGCATTTTGACTTCTTTTGCCTGTGAGAAGAAAGGGCAAAAAGTGTCAAAATCAGAATCAAGGATAGTAGAGAGCAGGTACCAAAACGGTAAGCCGGTGGTCCCAATGATACATAATACATAATAGTAATACGTACTTAGAACTTTCGATACACTCAGTACACAGATTCAGAGTTCAAATCCTGTCCAATTCCGTAGGCACTACTCAAAAAAATGGGGACAAGCCCTTCTTCAACCCATTAGAAGAAGAAGAAGAAGAAGAAGAAGAAGAAGAAGAAGAAGAAGAAGAGGAGGAGGAGGAGGAGGAGGAGAAGGAGGGGGAGGAGGAGGAGGAGGAGGAGCAGTGATTGACGGGGTAAACTGTTTTCATTGCTGAAATCAGGTTTTTTTGGCCTTCGGGTTATTCTTATTAATAAATAGCAGTAAAAAAACGCTCAAAGTTTGGGTCTCCGCTAACCACCACTCAGGAGGAGGAGGAGGAGGAGGGGGAGGGGAGGAGGACGAGGAGGAGGAGGAGGGCAGGAGAAGGAGTCATAAGTTTTTTTTTTTTTTTTTCTATTTTTCCCATGACCAGAGGCAGCTCACCTAGGTGCGTAGGGCCATGCTAATCTTCTCGCTGTATCGTTGTTCCAATTTTAATGGATATGTCCCGAAGGACGAAAGAGTAATAAGTAACTTGTAACCAAAGGGGGAAACAAAAAACGTGCAGACGGATGAAGAACCAAAAAAGAAAGGATGACAGCAAAACAGGAGTAGTTCCAGTGATGAACTGAGCAGCGACATTTGCTTTATGTATTTTTTGAATAGTTGCGGCGCCTTGAGGTGCGCGCCTCAGCACACGTCTGGCGCACC